TCAAAACCCAGGAATCAAGGTCATCTCTTCTTTCATTTTTTTTCTTAAAAATCAAATCTTTTTCTTTCTCTCACCACAAATTGCGGGTCTCTGTCTCTGTGTGGTCTACATGTTGTTCTTGATGGCTTTTTTTCATTACATTCCTTGCTTCGTTTGAGATCGAGCTTTGAAGTATACTACAAAACTAGGGTTTCTTGTTTGATTTCGTAATTTTCCCCCAAATTCTGACCTACATTTGGGTATTTCATATGGTTTCCATATTTCAGATCTATTAGGTATCGTTTCTACTTTGAAATGATAGAGAATTCTGCAATTTAGATTCAGATATGTTTTTGATTTTGAAGATAAGGTTATTTTAAGGTATTGGGTGAGATAAAGTTGTCAACTTTGAGTTCTTTTTAGGTTTATTTGGTGGATACCAGCTTTACCATTTGTTATGACTTTGCAAAGCAGTTGAATTGCTTGAGAGTTGACCGATTCTTTGTGTTGATATGAAGTTAGTGTTAGCTAATGTATCTCGTCTTGTTGTAGGTGTGAGTAGAAATCTAATCACTAGATGCATGACTTATGAAAGCTGTTATACATAATTGGAGTGGAACTCGTTATTCGCGTTTATCGAACTCTCTGCTCACTTGTACATAAAGCACTTAACTAAATACCTTGTTTGGGAGGGGGAAGCTTAAGAAATGGAGACTGCTAAAGCTTGGTTGAATAAGTTAAAATCGAAAGATAAGGTGAAATCCTCGAAAAAGAAGGAAACCACGAGTAATGTAAAGGAGGGACCCAAAACGACTGGAGGTGAAGAAACACTTTCAAATGTAACAAAGGAGAAGGCTGCTGCTGCGAAACTATATATCGAAAATCATTACAAAATGCAAATGCAGAGTCTGCAAGAAAGGAAGGAGCGGTATGGCTTTATTGCATATTTTTGCTATGCATGGAAAAACTTCAATTGTGCCTTTCTTTTTTCCAATTCTGCTATTTTCATGTTCCGTCCATATCTTTAGATTTCTTAGAAAATTATATTTCGCGCAGGCGCAAAATGCTAGAAAAAAAATTGGCTGCTGCAGAAGTCTCTGAGGAAGAGCAAAACAACTTGCTTAAAGATTTGGAGATGAAGGAAACTGAATACATGCGCCGTCAGAGGCATAAAATGGGAGCTGATGACTTCGAGCCATTGACTATGATTGGGAAGGGTGCATTCGGAGAGGTAGCATATCTTTGCTTCATCTCTTTTATAGTTCATATGTTGTTTTCTCAGCCTTTCATTGGCTTGCATCTACGGACATCATCTTAAAATTTCTCTGTCATACATCCTCCCAAACATGAATGTAATGTTTAGCTGAATGCTGTGCAAAGATGAACCTATTTGCCATATTTCTTTTGCTTTCTTATCATTAGTTGCTCTAGGGGCTTGACTTGTAGGATTGATACCACCTGAGAATACATATAAAGTATAAACCTTTTCTAGCCTTAAGTATGGATCTTACAATTAGTTCAAATGGGCTGCTGCCCAAAGTGACCGGAGGAAAATTAATGTAGCATGTGTATTATGAAATCTTAGGACTTTTTGGACCGTTGCCTAACAATCATGCTAAGTTTTATCCTCCTTCATGCATTCGGTTTTGTGTTTTTCTCTTTTTCTTGCAGGTTAGGATCTGTAGGGAGAAGGGAACAGGGAATGTCTATGCAATGAAGAAGCTTAAGAAATCTGAGATGCTTCGCAGAGGCCAGGTATTTAGATTCCCCCAAGCTGCATTCGATATACATTTGTTTGGTTGGTTGATGTGTTTGGTGAACCTGATTTTCAGGTGGAACATGTAAAAGCAGAGAGAAATTTACTTGCGGAAGTTGACAGCAATTGCATTGTCAAATTGTATTGTTCTTTCCAAGATGAGGAGTACTTGTATCTCATAATGGAGTATCTACCTGGTGGGGATATGATGACTTTACTGATGCGGAAAGACACCCTTACTGAAGATGAGGCCAGGTTTTATATTGGAGAAACTGTCCTGGCTATTGAGTCCATTCATAAGCACAATTATATCCACAGGTCAGTGAATTAAGACATATGACATAATTGTAGCTCCCATATCGGTTATTTTGTTCTAAATGTCTTCTTTTTTTCCCTCTAATGTGATACAGAGATATCAAGCCTGACAATCTGCTACTTGACAGAGAGGGCCACATGAAATTGTCAGACTTTGGATTATGTAAACCATTAGACTGTACTAATCTTCAGGAAAAAGATTTCACAGTTGCACGAAATGTTAGTGGGGCTTTACAAAGTGATGGCCGCCCTGTCGCGACAAGACGCACCCAACAGGAGCAGCTGCTTAACTGGCAGAGAAATAGGAGGATGCTTGTAAGTTTCACTTATGCATCATCTTTTTTCAAGAGATGTCCAGCATGTTTCTTTAATTGATAAGTGTGCTCTCCATTGATATAGAAATCTGTGTTAGATGTAACTTATTAGGTTAAGGTTATTGGTTTCAGGCTTATTCCACAGTTGGAACTCCTGACTATATTGCCCCGGAAGTTCTCCTAAAA